AGTTTCTGAACTCCTAATAGTTTTAGCATTGTGGAAAGGTCCAAGTCCCAAGTTTCTTCTGAGATTTAAGGCAAACTCTTAGCTGTGAGTTTGACAGAAAAGTCAAACACTTCCAACATTCAATGGTACAAAATAAACATTACAAATAATGGGTTTCAAATGAATGGGACCAAAGCAAGTCCAAAATCAGCAGGGCACACATGAAGTCCTGTAATTTCATGTGCAGCATCTGTGGCAAGATATGAACTCCAAAGGGCTTGGGTGGCTCCACCATCAGGGTCCTGCTGGTGGTGTTAGCTCCCATGGCTTCTGTCTTGGGCCAGCTTTGCTCCACCTTCCACTTTTCCTCAGATGATTCATGTACCTGACATCTCTAAACTTCTGGGGTCTCCCCTGTACCTTTGGCTTCACACATTGCCCTCTCAGGAGCACACTGCCTGGCTTCCCAAGCCCTCTGAGATCTGGGTGGAAGCCTTTCGACCCCACAACTCTTTATCTTCTGCACGTGCCTAAAATCAGGGAGGGAGGAGGTACAGAGAGAGAGAGAGAGGGGAAGAGAGGTTTTTAGTAGGATGGTGTTATGGTTTGTAGCTCGTTGCCCCCCATCCAAGCCGCATGTAAATCATGGGGCGGTCACCGCTTGAGGGGCAGGGCCAGGCTCGAGGGGCGGGGCCAGATAACCAGGGCGGGGCTTGAGGGGGTGGGGCCAGAGAGGTGCAAACCGTTAAACTGACAGCATGCACTCCCCCACACACCTCCCTGCCTGGTAGCCTCTCTTGCAGGTATGGATCGGATCATCCTGGATACAGCAGCACAACAGCCTCTTTTCCAGACCCTGTAGCGCAGGATGGCAATGTCTCGAGGTCTTGCTATGTAATTCAGACTGCTTTAAACTATGAAATCTCTGGTAACTGTGAGCTAAATAAACGTTTCCTTCCCTAAGCTTGAGTGTCGGGTATTTGTTCCAGCAACGACAGAAGAGTAACTAAGACAGACGGCCTAGGCCTGAGGTCAACCTGAGGGGTGAGATGCCAACACAGCCTCTCAAGACCTGCATGTTAAAGTTCTCCCAGTGTTATGGTTTGTGTCTAGGTGTTCCCCCAAAGCCTCATGCAGTCTTGGAGTGGCTTCTGGAATTTGTGATTGATTACTGTGGGTGTGGTTGCTGCACCTGCCCTGGGGCAGGTAATTTGCATTTCAGTGTAAGGTGGGAAGAGAAGCTAGCTGCTTGAGCTGCTGCTGCTACTCTCTGCACTCTTGCTCTGTGCCGCAGCCATGAGAGGTTGCCTTCTGTCATGTGCTGCTCTGCCTTGGAGCCAGCTGCGTATGGACTGAAACCTCCAGTAACTGTGAGCTAAATAAACCTTTCCTTCCTTCATTTTGAGTGGCAGGTATTTGTCCCAGCAACAAGAGAAGAGTAATTAAGACACCCAGGTTCCCTCAAGATTTGGACAATATAAAAGGACACAGGGGCTGGGATATAGCTCAACAGCTTAAGCACCTGCCTGGCAAGTGCAAGATCCTAACTTCAGTCCCTGCCTCCTCCTCTCTCCAAAAAAAGGACACAGGAGCCAAAAAGAGCTTGCTAGCTTGGCTCTCCTCGTGATAGCCTGTCCTGCTTGCTCCAGAGTGTGCTTTTATCTTGCTTTTTCCTCTTTTACTTGATCTAGCTTGCTCTACAGAGCCAGTCTCTTTCTTACTTTTACTTCTTCAAATAACCTTTGCCATTGTGTTTTGCTTGTTTCTTTCAAGTCTTTGTCCTAGATGAGAAGAACCTGGAATCCGACACCAGAAGGAGAGGCAACAGCCCCAAACCTGGTAACATTTATCTGATGAGCAGCGTTGTTTTTTTTTTTTTTTGGAGATTGAGTCACATTGTAGTTGAGCCTGGTCTTCAACTTGCCACCACACCCAGCCTTCTTTGCATGGTTTCTTTTCTTCTCTTTTTGGAGACAGGGTCTTGTGTAGTTCAAGCTGGCCTCGAGCTCACTTTGTGGCCTGGGCTGGTCTTGAACTCACAGTGATCCTCCTGTCTCAGCCTCCTGACCGCTGGGATTACAGGCATGCGCCACCACGCCAGGCTTCTTCTTCTTCTTCTTCTTTTTTTTAGATGGCTTCGTAAAGTGCACTTTACCTCTCAAGTCCAATAACATCAGAAACTGGACTGTGTTTTTAAGTCAATTTTCCTTGGGCTTGAGGTACTCATTCAATTTTTAGGTTTATGGTTTTATCTCAAAAAATTCATTCAAGTTCCTCTATAAATATACTTTCTGTTCTGTCAATCACTTCAGTTTTCCTTTTCAGGGTCACGAATAATGTGTGTAATGATCTCCTCTGCCTGCTTTTCACATTCATCATTTTCTTTGCAATCCTTTTTATCTCTGTGAATTTCAGTTTCCTTTGCCTGTCTTCCTCAGCTTGGTTGGGTAGGTCTGTCCTTGAGTGGTAGATTCTAACCCAGCAAAGTCTGATGGCAGTTCTCTGCGTTACTCTCCTGTCATGGACACGCACAAGTTACAGAGGGAGTGGGTTATTTTGGCTTATAGTTTGCAGAGGCTTCAGTCTACAGTTGCCGGCTCCAAGGCAGGGTTGCACGGCAAACAGGGGTGCTGAGGAGAAGCGGTCCATGGAGTGGCGGTGGGACTCAGAGAGAGGTCAAGGGAGAAGGGGATGGACCCTTCCAGTCACTCCCCTTCCATCAGGCTTCCCCTCCCAACACCACAGCCCATTGTACACCCATTAGTGGACTGACCCACGGATGAGTATCAGGCCCCCATGGTCCAGTGACCTCCCAGAGCCCCTGCCTAGGAGCGTGTCCCCATGTGTGATTTTGTGGCAATCTATAGAAACCCTAACAGCAGTCACTTGCGGAATGCCATCCCAAAGAGCATTGTGTTATGATTCTAACATATGAATTTTGGAAAAGACAACATTTGCTACTTGGCAACTATCTCTCTTGCCTTTTACATTGTGGGGATCAGATATACAGTCTGTTTCCCTTCCCAGGGCTGGTTTGAGGGGTAGAGGGTTACCCTTAATCCACAGTAAAGGTTTATTGGAAGAATCAGTCTAATCCACACCAGCAAAGGAAAAAAAAAAAAAAAAAACCAAACCAAAACCCAAAGCTGGCAAGTCCTGAATTTCCTTTTTGAAAACATATTCATTAGTAGAAACTCTTCAAGATGTCCTAGAAAACTGCTGTTATTCTAAGATACTGTACGTGCTTAAAAATGTTCTTAGGGCTGGGCATGATGGCATAATCCCAGCACACTGGAGATTGAGGCAGGAGGGTCACTGTGAGTTCGAGGGCAGCTTTGGTACCCAGTGAGTGCAAGGCCAGTTTATATACTGCATAGTGAAACCCTATCTCAAATAACAAAAGGACAAAAAACCCCAACTCCCCAAACAAAAAACAAAATGAAACAAAAACCAAAAGAAGTATTTAGGCTAGTAATTATTTCTTTTCAGCGCTTGACGCTTGACGGTATGCTAGTACTCTTTCACAACTCAGTAAGGACAGTGACCATGATCACATAAAATATTCCACTTAAACTTATGAATATTTAAATAGCTATTCTAATTTTTTATCTGACACAGTTAACACACCGGAGATTTGAAAAAGTAGAATACATTTCAAGAAGACAAGTTGAAACATAAGTTATGGTAAGAAAAAGGCCTTCTAACTCCCTGATGTGCATTCTAAACGCTCATTTCTGTGGAAGGTCAATACTGTACAGATATAAAAATATCTGGGGCCAGGGATATAGCTCAGGGGCACAGTGCCTGCCTGGCAAGCACAAGATCCTGAGTTCGATTCCTGGTACCAAAACCAAAACAAAACAAAACTGGTGTCTACCACAAGTATAAAGCAGTCTAGTATAATGGTTATTTCTGTAGAGAAACATACAAATGAGCTCTGATTACTTCTCATTTCAAGGTTTTATACTGGGGCTGGAACTCTGTTTTCCAATTCAATGACCTATCCTCCTCAGGATGGAAAAAAAAAAAAAAAGCTGAGGACAGAATGACACTTGGAAAAGGTATCTTTCTTTCTATTTTATTATACTTCTCCCCGGGCCCCTCCATGTTTCTAACTTTTATGTTAATTTGTTCTTTGTTTTTTGAGACAGGGTCTCCATATGTAGTTCAGGCTGGCCTTGAATTCATGGTGATCCTTCTGCCTCAGCCTCCTGAGTGCTGGAATTTCAGGCGTGTGCCATCACAGTCGGCTTATTTTATTACATTTCTTATAGTAATATTCTGGGGGCCAGGGAGATGGTTTAGTAGAATAAGTACTTGCCTGGCAAGTACACGGGCCTGAGTTTCATTCCCGGTTCCACCAAAAAAAAAAAAAAAGTAGTATTTGCTTCATACCACCTTACACTCTCAGTGACACTCAGAACAACGAACGGATCCTTTCTATCGTTTATTTTCCAGGTAATGGCATAAGGAATCCTGCAGTACTGGCCGGAAACTGAGGCTCCGAGAGTGCAAAAGCTCCTCTTGAAGGTTGCGGGGGTAGGGGCTGGGAGCACAGCTCGGTGGAGGAAGCTTGCATGGCCAATGCAAGCTCTGGGTTCCATCCCCTAGACCTAAGGGGGCGCCGCAGTGTGCGCCTGTAATCCCAACAGTGGGGAATTCATTCGGGAGGTCGAAGGGGGAGGATTCCTTGAGTCCAGGAGGTGAGAGTTCAGCTTGGGTAACACGGTGAGACCTAATTTCAGCAGCCTGCTTTTCAGCTGGAAGGATTTCGATCGCCACTTGCAATCATGGGGATTGAACCTACATCTTCGCACTGAGCAACATCCTCAGTCCTTTAATTTTTTTTTTTTTTTTTTTAAATCTTGAGGCAGGGTTTTGCTAAAGCAGTAAAATGCTCAAGTTGAGTTTGAATTTGCAATCCTCACCCTCAAGGGGTCGGGGCGGATAGGGCCGGATGCTGGATCACTCCGGGGCGGAGCGGTTTAGGACAGGAGTTTGAGACCGCTCTGCCCGCGCGGTAGGCAGGGCGCTTGGTGCTCGGCTTTCGATTGCTCGCACCTGGCACGACTGGGGCGCGCCAGTTCTGCGCTCGAGGGGTCGCGCCTGGCGGCATCTGCGCATGCTCGGCGACCCTTGCAGGCGGTGGCGCGGGATGTCGCGGGCCTCCAAGGTGGTGCTGGGCCTCTCTGTGCTGCTCACCGCGGGCACGGTGGCCGGCGTGCACCTCAGGCAGCAGCAGGACCGTCAGGTCAGTGGCGCGTGACCGCTCCTTCCGGGTCCGCGCGCGTCGGGCCTGAACCTGGGGTCTCTCTCACCCGCCCAGGCCTGGAGCACATTCTCGGGTTCGGTCCCGTGGGAACTGGAGCTGGGGTTCAAGGGTGTGTTGGGGTTAGGGTCCCCGCTTCCAGTCCCCGGGCTGCTGATCGCGACCCTCGCTATGGCCGGGGCCCTTGGCTGAGGTCGCTGTCACCCGTTGGGCGGACAATTCGCTGTGCAGACTGCAGGTTTTGGAAGGGACAGAGGTACCGGCCGATGTGCCTGGAGTTTGCCTTTGTGGACGCGTCCTTAGTTTAGCGATCGGCCGGTCGGCCGTGCGGCCCGAGTCCGCATTTCCTCGGAGTCGGCGGGCGTGTGAGGCCGGGGCGAGGGCCAGGCGGCACGCGGGGCGGCCTGGGAGTCAGGCCCGGACGCAAGTGCTCCGCGCGCCTGCAGCCTGCAGCCTGGTGGCCTCGCGAGTGAGCAGTCCTTAAACCGCGAGTAGTCCTTACACACCTTCTCAGGTGTTGGGGTTGAACCTTGTTTGCGGAAGAGGGAAAGTAATGAATGGGAGGAGTCGAAAGCAAGCAGAGATGGGAAATTTAAGATTCGGAATCCCCAGCTAGAGAGGAGAGATTTGAGGGTGGAGGTTTCCGGGGGCACTTTTGGGACTAGAGGCAGATCCCCTGTGTGGAAGGAAGAGAAGGGCCTGACCCCCAAGAAACTTGAGGGAGCAGAGAGCGAGGTCAGACCAGTCCTGAGATCGGTGAAGCCTGTGATTTTTGGGAGGGGTAGGATGTGGCTGTGTGAAGAGCCCTGGCTACAAATCCTGAGTCCTGGGAAGTTTGTTCAGTGTGACTGAGGCTTGGGACCCCACTTAAACCAGAATGGCTTGAGTATGGGGACTCCGTGTCGGTCTCCAAATATCCAAATCCACCCAGAGGACACGGACATAGCCAGGATGGAGAATCATGGAGGTTAGGAAAGTGGAAGACAGAAAGGTTTAGTCGTTTGGCGATTGGAAAAGAAGAAAAAGATTGAATGGGTAACTGGTGTTTATGTTGTCTCCCTACGTTCCTTAGAGACTTCTTTCTAGCCAGGGAAAATGTAGATTAAATGTAGATTAAGATTGGCAGGGGTCTGGCCCTAGCTCAGTTCTTTAAGTGGCTGCTTCCACAAAGCTGTCAGCCTCAGGTTGTTGTAGTTCCATCCCCACAACCCTCCAGCCAGCCAAAAGT